TTTTCAACTTTTCATAAATCTACTCGACCTACACTATTTTTAAAATTTTAAATTTTATAACTAAATATGAAAATACATTTTAAGTCTATCACAAAGATTTTCAGTATCCAAACTATATTTCTTGACAATATTTGAAGGTGCGCTTTACTTTGATTGTTTAGAGCCTCGGCTCTATACAAACCTCACCATAATATACACACACACTCATTGGCTCGCTTACACCTCTCCATGTCGCATGCACTCATTTGTAGAGCTGAGAATGGATCGGATTGGGTCTAGATCCGCCGAGATTCAGATTTGGAATAAAAATATATATATGGGATCCAGATTCAGATCTAGATCCATAATATTGAGACCTAGATTTGGGCCCAATTGAATCCAAAAAATTATTTTATATCTATAAAATTAATATAAAGTAATATATAACAAAAAAATATTATACAATATTTACGTATATTATAATATAATATAATATATAATATTTTAATAATTGGGTCGGATCCAAATCGGATCCACCTATACCTAGATCCGATCCAAATTGCTATTGGGATCCAACTTTTAGATCAGGATCTAACCCGTCAGATCCAAATCTTGAAACTATACCGAGATTTGGACAGAGTCTGAAATTCAGGTTTCAAATCCAAACTGAGTAAATTCTCTACGCTACACTTTTGCTCCCTTGGACCCCTCTCTCTCTCCCCACCGGCCGTCTCTCTCTCTCTACATACACATGATATTGTCATACGTTAAAGGTGCACATGTGTGTATGTTGGGATGTCAATTTTTGTGGCTCTATATCAGTGTTCGTAAAATTGGACCGAAACGGTTAATCGGATATGGGTTTGGGAACGTTTTAACCAATAAACCTGCCGATTCAACTGCTCTAATCGGGCAAGTATCGGGCGGTCAAAAAAATGTTACAAAAAAATAAAAAAAATACAAAAAAAAATCTACTAAAAATATGAAAAGCATATAAAGAATGATTAAAACAAAACACATTCAAATAAAGTTGAAAATCAATGAAAAAAATAGATTTTAACCCATTCTATATTTTCAAGGGATATTTTTAAATTTTTTTTTAAAATATGGGAAATTATAAAGTTGAGTATTAATGATCAAAACAATTTTTAATATTTACCATAACGTAAATAATATTTAAAAATATATTACAAATCAAATTCTTTATTTTGAGAATTTATATATATATATATATATATATATATATATATATATATTTAAGTTTTTAAAAATATCGGTTGATCACCCAAGGCACCCAAAATCGGAGATCTAACCGGGGTTAAAACGGGCAATTTTGCGAATAATGCTTTACATGCTTTGTACGTGCATATATGACTTTTACCTCCGTGCGCGTGCGCCTGTCGTGTATGAGTACGTATCTCTCCTGTATCCATGTGCACTTATATGCCAGTTGGTTCACTCTTAGGTTTTAGCAGGTTGGTTTTTTATAGGTTTCTTTTGCTCTTTAATGTGCTATTGCAACTGAGCCAACAACATTATCGTAATATATTAATTGTGGTTTAACATGAAAAATTTAATTATTTTAACATTATTATTAGTTATCTCATTTAGTTTCTAACATATATAAAATTATATGTGTATGAGAACTCAAATAGTGACATTTTGTATTTAAACATGTGCTTATGTATTACAATTTCATCTGTGTGGAATAAATTAGAGAGAGTGTCCTCATCAAGCAAATTATTATTTTGCTATTTTACCTACTTAACTTGTGAGATTTCTTGAGCAATTTCACTCATTGTAAATGAAAATAAAAAACAAAAATACATAAAAATTAGAGGAAAGGTAACTATAGCAACACGCCTTGTATCATTAATCAAGCTTAAAATCCAAAACAACACGCCTCAAGTTATTGGATTTTACATATGAAATCTAATGGATTAAAGTAATTGCGAACTTAAAGACAATATTGTAGTCGTTTTAAAGTAGATGATATATCTTTTCTTTCTTGTTTTTTTCCACTTAATGTGCTCTTCATAATTAGATATAATTCTTGAGGTTCCCAAAAATGACCAACATTTCCCCAGTTTTGCATGACTTTTAGACAGCCCAATCATTGCCTTGAAGTTTATAACGACCAAATTATCCTGGTCTTCTAATAATTGAATATAAAATTAGGAATTTTAACCAAATTTTAACAACTACTCTGTAGTTTAAGGCTAAATGGTTTTATAATATTAAGTACTTAAATATTGAGATAAATTTGTGCCATTTACAAGAATTTATCCCTGGGAGTATTTAAGAATTTGGCTCCTTAATTACTTTTTTGTCATTTTTAAAGTGGTCATTTATTGAAAAAAATAAAAGGGCGAATTGCTTAAAATTTTTAAAAATTTAAAAGTTTATTAGTCAAAATCATGGAATTTTGATGAAGGAGATTTTGGAGTAAAAAGAGCAAAAAACAAACGAAAATGGTATCTTTTGAGGGTGATATGGAGTGGATAGCTATGAATAAAGCGATTCTTGAAAAAGTTTTGGATAATATTTGCATCTTATCAAACGTATTACTACGTTTATATGAATACCTTTTTTGTTTTTATTTTTTTTATAAAGATCTTCTAGCAAAAAATTTGTAGAGAGGTACATGAAACCTAGGAAAGCAAGAAAATATTAAAAAATAATTTACAATAAAAAAAAAAATGTAAATGCCTCTGCACCTATCGATGAATGTGGGTCGTCTATATTATTTAGTTTAAGCCATCTAATCTAACCTATGCTGAAGCATAGGCTAAAAATCAAGTTCAATCTTATATGTTGGGCATATAAGATGAAGTACGTATGTGGGTCATATATATATATATATATATATATATATATATATGTGTGTGTGTGTACTCTATTCGTCTCTAACTAGTACTTTACTTTTACTTAATTAATTAAACTTAAAAAGTTAAAAGTTAAAAAGTTTAGTTACGTACGTTCGGGTTCGG